TTCCCCCCCCCCCCCCTTATTATTTTATAACGACCCACTTGAATTTGAAAACTACTTCCCTTTCTGTTTATCGGCGGAAGCCAAGTGTCCTTCTCAGTTCACTTTACGCCGGTGCGTTTCCAGCCCGCGGAGAAAGAGACAGACGTTCGCGAGACAACTCTGCGATTTCGCTCGCCGCTTTGCGACCTCGCTCAAAGAAATTGACACAAATGAAGGAGCCGCGCCGAAAATATGTAATGTCCCGTTCAACGGCGCGCGCGTTCCAATATTTCCATTAAAATTCCTTCACGTACCATTTGCCGGAATAAAGTTGTTCTCTCTCATCGTTCTTCCGAATATATTCCGGCGGATTTCTCAAGCAGGATTAATGCAATAAAAGTTCTCAAAACCAACGAAAATCCAATGAAAATATTACCGGTCTCCGAGGGACATTTGAATTGCATCGTTAGAATAATTTTCAAAATGCGGTTATCGAGATATCATATTATTTTAATCGACAGCGTTTATCAGAACTAAAATATCCAGAAGAAAATATTCTTGTCTTCAGTGGAAACCTTTTATTATGACCTCTTTATGACCTTAAGAAGATTCTTCTAAAGCCGAAAGGAGAATCTTTTGTGCACCATATTCTTAAAGTTAAAGGAATTTTGCTCTTTATTTACAGTACAAGTCTTGTTTCTAATAGAAATTTCTTTCACTAACAAGGCATTCTACTTCAAGTTATCCAAACGTATTGACTTAAAAAGAAAAAATTGGAATAATATCTCTGCTTAATAGTTCATTTTGTAAGAGGGGGAAATATTCTTTTGATACAGATTTTCGCTTAGAATATGAGGTTACAAGAAACAGCATCTTGCAACTGGAGTTCTAGTTTAGGTGTTGAAATATTCTTTTTTTAGAAGAATCCTCTTGCATATAAGAGGATATCGCTACGCTGCAAAAAATTCGTGTTGAATTTAACACACTTCGCGTGTCCCAATTTACCTACTATAATTTTTATGTTAATTTAACATAAAGCAAA